AGCCGAAGGCAGAGGCTTTAACCCGCTGAGCCACCCAGGTGCCCTGGAAGAAAATATTTTTATCTTAAAAGCAAAAAAGCTTTACTCATATATAGACTAGCCATAGTACATTTATATTGTTTATAGATAAATGAACACTTTGAGGGGCATGCTCAATTTATTTATTTATGTATAATTTAAAAGTTTGGCAGCCACCTACCTATGTATGTGGAAATTTGACATATGGTGTAATGAATATATGGGTCTCATATTAAAAAGAGAGTTCTAACTTGCTTACCAGTGAAGCATTCACAAGTGTGAATGAGGTGAGAAAAGAGTTGAGATCAGAACTCCAGGAAATACCAACATTTAAGAGGCAAGCAACAGGTAAGCATTACCTGTGTCTAATAAGTACAGGGAAATGAGTTCTACAGTTCTCTCTGCATCTGAGAATGTCTCCATAGATACCACAGTGCATCCAGTAAACATGTTTTTGCCTTGGAGTTTATACATCTGTGATGGTTCTACTACTATTGTGTTAGGAAACTGTGCAGACAGCTGCCTCAGCCAGCTACAGGGTGCCCCGAGAACAACCTCACCCATCCTTTTTTCTCTGTGCGCTCCCTGAAGACACGAACAAACAGCGTCAGGAGAAAAAAAAAAAAAAAAAGGCAGAAGGAAAGGAAGTAAAGGATTTAGGTTAGACAATGTACTAGATAGCTGGTGTCTTGATAACTGATATGGACGGGGCAGGAGGTGAGCAGACTCCTTAACTTGCTGTGGATACGAACACTTGCTGACGTTCCTGCAACACAATGAAACAACTCTACCTCTCAGGCTATTTCCCTTGACTACTTACCCTTCTGGAAGACCTCTGTCATAATCTCTCAGCCTAAACTCCTACCGAATTCACCCACTAGACTGCAAACCTCTAGAAGCAAGGATTCTGTCCCTTTACCTTCTTTTCTCTCAAGACACTAAACACAAGGAGGCCCTGAAGAGAGGTGTGCTAGGTTGAGATGTCTATTATTTCTATGTTATTATCTAGCCAAATCTCCCCCACTCTAACTTTTGCACCAATATTTTAAAATTCGAATTCTAGGGTGGCATAGTGACATTATAAGTTTGGATTGAGATTTATATGGATCTTAAAGGGGTCTAACTTTTTGGGATTGGTTGGTTTGTCTGGAGCCATTTATATGATCCAAGACAAAAGTTAATAAGATGGAAGGCATTTGTTTGTTTCTAAGTTGAGGGACAGTTTTGGAAAAATACAAGTGGAAGAAATTCAACCTTCATTTTCCACAGGTACCGTATTGATCTATATTTTTTTGTTTCTAGGTGTTCTCTATTCTATGTATAAGGATTACATCAGACCTCGATTCTTCAGCGTGTCCAAAAAATGAAGCTACGTCTAAGATAAGGAGGCTTCTGAAAACTCTTCATTATGAAGAATTCTCAATATGTCGCAAATTATACTGCAGAAGAATGAGACAGGATTCTCATACCCCTGTATAGTAAGTCTCAATTGTTTACGAAGTTGATTTCCAAATCAAAAATCACAGTCAACTCAAAAATATCCTTGTTGTCTTTCAGAACCTAGGATAGGATTTTCTGACTTTTAGAATTTTTACTTTCTAGTTAGTGGCAGAAAATAATCTATATTATGCCAAACCAATCTGAAAATTAGGATTTATAATAGTGGCTACAGAAAAATTATCTATATCCATATTAAATGTAATACTCTATTCATCACTTAATTCTGTGTAGGGCAAAGTAATTAGAGCTTTCATAAATTCTTTTCAAGAACGGCAAACAGTTATAAGAGAAGAATGGTCATGTTATTTAAATTTCGTTTACCACTGTGTACCTTACTCTAATCTAAAAACATGACGATTATGCCACAAATATAAATGTTTAACATTTAAATATATCTATGTATTCATTTTTATACTTCTTGAAACTTTTTCTAGGAGCACAAAGGTAAATTGCTAAAAAAAAAAAAAAAAAATCCCTTTCCCCCAGATGGCAATTGTGGGGGTGAAAGGAGTTAGTCTAATGCTATTGCTAATCTGGTCTGACACTAGAAGACACAGAAACCAAAGCAGACATTAAATGTTAACTATCTGTGACCTCAAACTCCTCATAACTGCCCACGGTTCTAAAAAATTAACTAGACTTTGTTGAAGTCCCACTGTTGTGACTCAGATTTACTTCCCTAAAACTCCAAGCCTGAAAAAAAAAACAAAACAAATGAAAAAAGTATTCACTGAAATAAAATCAAGAACGTACTATAAAATGATCTGTGGTGGTGATTTCCTTTTCCCTGATGTCTCCTGTAGTGGACGGTTAATCTGACAGGAAGGTGAAGTCTAGTATTTGGAAAAGGAAAAGATGTAAGAATATCTGAAAATATATCTGCATTCCAGATACTAACCCATTGTTCTGTGTATTATATACATTTTTCTCCGTTGGCACAGGTAGTAATTTTTAAAATTGTCATTTACCTATCAGGAGGCTCTTCTAGTGCCTGTTTTGGTCAACACTGTCCTCTTTGGAAAATAGGCAAGGAAGAATCCAACTACTTTATTCCACTAAATAGTCCAGCAGCTAGATCTACTATGTTCCATGGAGGTTAGGGAAATTGAGAACAGCTGGCATAGAAACATCATCCTTCAAGTTGATTACACAATGAAAAGCTATTTCTAATCAGGCTACTGGAAAGATTCTACTCTCTTAATATAGACTCTGTATTAAAAATAGACTTAAGGGGGTGCCTGAGTGGCTCAGTTGGTTAAGCGTCTGCCTTTGGCTCAGGTCATGATCCCAGGGTCCTGGGATGGAGTCCCACATTGGGCTCCTTGCTCAGCAGGGAGTCTGCTTCTTCCTCTGCCCCTTCCCCTCACTATACTCTCTCTCTTCTCTCAAATAAATAATCTTTAAAAAATAAAAATAGACTTAAGTGTTTAATTAGAAATGGGCTTTTCTCATAAAACCCAGTAGCTTCCAGAATTTCTTAATTTTACTCTGAGAGAACTTCAGTGATATATTTATTGCTTGAAAAAAGAAATGCAAGGTATTTATTTACTAAGAGTAGCTATGCATGAGAACTCACAAATTGTGTTTAAATTAAAATGCAAAATCATCTAGGGGCACCTGGGTGGCTCAGTTGGTTAAGCATCTGCCTTCAGCTCAGGTCATGATCCCAGGGTCCTGGGGTCAAGTGCTGCATCAGACTCCCTATTCAGTGGGGAGCCTGCTTCTCCCTCTCCCACTCCCCCTACTTGCACTCTCTCTCTCTCTCTCTCCCTCTCTCTCTGTCAAATAAATAAATAAAATCTTTAAAAAGAAAAAGGAAAAGAAAAATCCAGATTTGTAAATCATAAATTAGAGAATGATTAAATGTTCCTCACTTAGAAAAGAAGTATAGGGACGCCTGGGTGGCTCAGTTGGTTAAGCGGCTGCCTTCGGCTCAGGTCATGATCCCAGCGTCCTGGGATCAAGTCCCACATCGGGCTCCCTGCTCAGCAAGGAGCCTGCTTCTCCCTCTGCCTCTGCCTGCCACTCTGTCTGCCTGTGCTCTCTCTCTCTGACAAATAAATAAATAAAATCTTTAAAAAAAAAAAAGAAAAGAAAAGAAGTATACCCCAGACTCCCTCTTTAGAAATCAGTCTCTTCTACTGGTTTTAGCATAACTCAGATTATCAAATTTTTTGATTATAGGAGTTATATGACCTGATCGGTATACTTACAAACTTTTGTACACTCGAGTCTCTTCCTAGTAACATATAGCTAAAGGAGGGAGAGGAGTTAAAGAATCCCCCAAGTACTTAGTCTCTGTTTAACTGAGCACCTCATCTTCTTAAGAGTGGAAAATAGGATTTTTTAAACCTTTTTTTTTTCCTCCTAACACTCTCTAGTAATGAAACTGAGAAACTGAATTGCCCAGGAAGGGAGGAAAATCCAGACTGGTCCATCTAGAATTCTTATCTGTGTATAAAGAATCTAAAATACTGAAACTCATTTTAAAAATCTCTTCTTCAAGTGAAAACTGTTAATTGATGCTAATTCAGTTTCATTTTAAGATCAGAAGGATGCTAACCTACAGCATAAGGACGCTACTCTTACCAGAAGTTTCAAGGGCCCCTGATGGAGAAATGAGAGAATTTTATTTATTTATTTATTTAAAGATTTTATTTATTTACTTGACACAGAGAGACAGCAAGAGAGGGAACACAAGCTGGCAGTGTGGGAGAGGGAGAAGCAGGCTTCCCACAGAGCAGGGAGCCCAATGCAGGGCTCGATCCCAGGACCCCAGGATCATGACCCGAGCCAAAGGCAGATGCTTAACCGACTGAGCCACACAGAGGCCCCAAGAATTTTAAAGTATCATCTTAGAAAACTTGCCACTTAGAGGGCCAGGTCTTTATAAATGAAGGTAAGGAATGTCTGGATTTAACAAAAAACAACTTACTGAAAAGCACTAACTTTTAAAATAAGACAGATGAGATATTTACCTTTTGAAGCTGAAATAGGAAGATAACGCTCAAAGTCATATTAAAGCTGCAGTATTTGCAAACACAACGCCTCTGTGGCCAGAAGGAAATGAAGGAGTGTGTGTGCTGTCCCGCAGTATAGTCCAAGAAGATGGACAGCTGCCATTCATTCCAGCCAACTGCAGTTCCATGCAGAAATGTGACCCAGTGTTGAAAATCTCCTTTTCAATCAGATAATTAGGCAAAATCTTTAAATTTTTAAGTATTAACTTTTTTATTATAAAAATCTTAAGGAAAAAGGTCCCAGTTAAGAAGAGGGGTCAAAAAGAGTCTATAACCCACATGTAGACAGGCAGTTTATGGCATGAGAACTAGTCGTCTAAGTCCTAGTCTAGTTCTAATCTCATATTACTTGGTATAAATACCTCACAATAAAATGCTTAGCATTCAGGGAAATTCAACATTAGAAATATTAGCCATTCCTGGACACAGACTTTGGACCCAGAAATGGTGTTTGGCGTTTCGATGGGAAAAATGGGAAGAAAACACATGGTAGGACTCTAAACATTAGAAAGAAAACAAATATGTCCATCAATATCTTTATAAAAGTAAATGTTAGAAGTTTCTTCTTTTTATACCTAAAAACCTGAATGGTAAAATGGGCTGAGTTATAATGTCACATGGAAAACTGATCATTGGTTAGAGCATGGTTTCTGAATCTTATTACAAGGTATTAAGCTCTTCAGAAAATACCATCATTCCTCCGATAAGATTTCAAGAAAAGTAACAGAGAGAATTATAATTAAGAAGCACATCAATAACCAGGACCAAATATGAATGCTGAAAAGAAGAAATGTTTTCCTTAGAAATGATGTGCTGGTATGAAGTAGTCGCTAAGGGTCTGGTCGATTAAAACTGACATGGAATTTAACCGGCCATAGTCAAGTATCACTTTAAAAGGTAAGTTAATTTGACCAGGTCATTCCAAAAAAGAGCATTACTCCCTCTCCTTTCTCACCTGTGACCCAGATAAAACAAATATCTGATTTATCTGAATACTATCTTCAAAAAAATAAGACCTATCAATTTTATATAACCTTAAAACTCTACCCAAATTGATATGTTCAGGTTTACATAAATATATACACAAATATATTTTTAAATGCCAGAAGTCAAGACACAAGCCCATAGGGTTGTGTGGCCACGAGAGGCCAATCATTGAGCTCTGGCTGTTGTAGGACAGGGGAGGCGGGTGGGTCTCTGTCCTACATTTAACAGCTGTCAGCTTTTAATGCCTTTCCCATGAGGAAATCTTTGCCTTTTGTTCAAAACATCTGAACAAAACTCACCTCTGAACTAACAGAGATATGTTAACAGGACACCTGGCACAAAAGGATTAAGACAAAGTAGTTCTTATACAGTCTCGTGGGCTGTCAGTCATCTAGACACAAGTGAGTCGGCATCCACTGTGTTCAGAAGGTAGAGTTCAGGCTGAGCCGTCAATCCCAGATGGTACTAAGGACAAAAAAAAATAGAAAAGGGTTAGACTCATTTGCCAGTATTTATTTATGTACAAAGATTTTATTTATTCGACAGAGAGAAAGAGCACAAGCAGGAGAGAGTGGCAGAGAGAGGGAGAAGCAGGACCCCCGCTGAGCGGGGGCGGGGGGGGGGGGGGGGGGGGGGGGGCCGCCGCGCCCCCGGGGGGGGGGGGGGGGGGGGGGGGGGCGGGGCTCCATCCCAGGACCACAGCCGGCTTGCCCAAGGCAGACACTCAATGGACTGAGCCACCTAGGTGCCCGTGATTTGCAAGTATTTAAATATTGTAACTGGCGCGTGGACCTATAATCAGCACATCAAAAGAGGCTTTTTTCCAGTACTGCTATATTGATTCTTATTTCAGAAAAGAAATGGCTTGCAGATACATGAATGGTTTACGGCACATAAAATAGCTAGGAACTGAAATAGTTAAGAATTGAGGTAGTGCCAAATGCCCTCAGCAAAATTTGCACTTTGACTATTCTTCTGACACACTTGACTGCTGCTGTTTTTGTTTTTTAAGATTTTATTTGACAGAAAGAGAGAGCACAAGCAGGGGGAGGGGTGGAAGGAGAGGGAGAAGCAGGCTGCCTGCTAAGCAGGGAGGCCAGACTCCAACTCTGACTCTGTGGCTGGATCCCAAGACCCCAGGATCATGACCTGAGCTGCTTAACTGACTGAGCCAACCAGACATCCCAGGATGGCTACTTCTGATAAGGACATTCAGAGCCAACACACCGAGTGCTTTTGTATTCTGGTACTGTTTTAGAAATCAAATAAATTCTAAATAATGAAAATCAAATATTAGAATGAAATATGAATTATAAATTATTAGAATTAAACACTAATTCTAAATCCTGAGCTCAGTCTAAATCCTGAGCCATATTATCCAGGCCGGCCTCACAATCTTTTGGCACCTGAGCAGAGAACAGCCTTTCATTTAAAAAAAAAAAAAAAAAAAAAGTGCTGAGAGAGGGAAATGACCTATGGGTCTCAAATGTTTGTCAGGCTGAACTGAAATTACTTGGACTGCTTTTAAAACATGGCCAGACCGCCTTCCTGGAAATCTGAATCGCTATGGTTTATTTTGTTTTGAAGTAGGCCCCACACCCAGTGTGGAGCCCAAGACCGGGCTTGAACTCTTGACCTTGAGATCAAGAGCTGAGCTGAGATCAAGAGTAGGATGCTTAACTGAGACACCCAGGCAACACCCCCCTTTATTTTCTGAATCCCTATTGTTTGAGATCTGTGAAGTTGTTTACTCCTTTTCTCTCCTCTGCATACACTGAGACAATCACTGAATCTCATTTTAGCCTTACTGTTATTATTTAGGGTTTTAGGAAAGTTATCACCCCTTGGCATCAACAGCCTGTATATTAATGCAGAATGTAGACTATAAATCCATAAAAGGAAAACATCCCTATTATAGTATAGTGGAAAAGTCACCAGAGTTGGGTTCAAACTCTAATTCTGCTACTTGAGAATAGCAGACCTTGAGCAAGTTCATGTACACTTCTGGAGCCTTATCCTACTTATTTGTAAAAATGGGAATAAATGCTACATTTGAGAATACCAAGTACACTAATATGCCATTAGTCTTCAACAAATGTAATTTTTTAATATATTACAAATTGTCCCGTATACCTCATAGGCTTGTGAAGATGACCCCAGATGAAGCCCAAGATAAAACTGTTCTAAGAACAGTGACTAACAGTGGCCTTGGGGCAGAGAGACAACTCTTCAGACAAGCCTCCTTATTCACTTCAGGGTCTTACATCTCAGGTTAGTAACCAAGAGCGATTGTCATATACACTATAAATTCACTGCAGCCTTTTCACAAGAGCTGAGGTGGTGGGCTTCCTCATTATGTAGTAGGCAAGAGTGGCATTATTAGTCCTGTGATTCCCAGAGTCACTCAGATGACTTACTAGACAAAACCTCCTCATCGGAGAAGTTTGTCATATTGCTCTGAGACACAGAAATGGGGCCAAATGACCCAGGAGTAGGCTAAATACTGTCAGGGGCAGAGAGGTAGTGCAAATGAGTAAGCTTAATAGTTCTTAGCTACTACTGAGGTAGAATCACAGAGTGCCCTGACCTATCCATTTTCTGTGCTTACCAAAAAGCATTCGAAAGTTGTTTCAAATTTAGCAAAGGTCAAACAAAATTAGTCTACCAGCTGGCAACTGGTGAGCTAAAACATATTCTATCACTAATTAGAGTATCACACAAATGCTTTGATATGTTCCTAGTTCTGCCAAACACCTTAACCCTGCACAAAGTGCGTACTATGTATTATATAGCATGGTTTGGGAATGACAGTGTGGGCTCTAGAGTTAAGCTATTCAAGTCGAAATGCCCATTGCCTATTCACCAGCGATGTGATGTGGGGAAGTTACTTTCTGGCCTTTCAGTTGCCTCATCAATAAAGAGGCGGATCCTCTTGTTGTTAACAATTAAACAGAGGTCATAAGAGTGCTCAGACCAGGATTAGCAAGCACATGGTAGTGGTTTTTAACATTCATAAAAGCTAAGATGCCAAGAGAAGCAGATACATTTAGTTGCACTGGTCCTGTCCAATAAAGGAGCAGATAGCATTCCAGAGAGCAGAGCTAAAAGAAATGTCTCAAATCAGGATCTTCAAATTGTTGCATCCTAGTTTAGTTCTGAATTTAAACCCAGGTTAAGAAGAGAGAGCTAAATGAGGCAGGACAACATGGAGAACAAAATTCCCAGATTACTTCTATCGTGTTTCAGTATCTGTCTCCTGTAAGACACACAGGAAAAGCTTACAACAGAGAAAGGGAAAATGCAGTTCTGTGCCAACCTTGGGATAAATGAAGTGCTGACTTAGATTTTCCTGTTGTTTATATGGTGACAGGAACTGCAGTTTACTATGCCTGAGCTTTGTCTTTGTTTTATTAAATGGTGCCAGTATTTCCATTTATATCAGTTCTGCCAAAATGCTTTCAGTTTTTAAGCTAACCAATTTTGGTTTCTCTTTTCAAATACTCATACTTTTTATTGGCATCATACATACAGAACATAAAAGCTTACTTCAATGGTGAAACAAGACTACAGAAAGAAAAATGTTCAGCTTAGGGCAAAGAAATGCAGAATAACAATTTTTTTGGACTTTAAATATTGCAACGATGTGACCTTCAGGAGCAGCAAAACTATGTGACTAAGTGGGTAAACTGGTATGACTGGTGTCTGGAGTTCATGAAAGTCTTCTCAGGACTAAACCTATTTGCACCTCCATCCCTTTAGAAGAGAAAATCACTAACAATGTGGGCTTAAAATGTCATCTAGGTGGCGGCCGATGTTGCAGTATCTCGGAAGTATTTTCTTTTCTTTTTTAAGATTTAATTTTTATTATTTATTTGGCAGAGAGAGAGAGTGCACAAGCGCAAGCAGGGGGAGCAACAGGCAGAGGGAGAGGCAGGCTCCCCGCTGAGCAAGGAGCCCGATGCTGAGCTTTGGTCCCAGGACCCTAGGGTCATGACCTGAGCCAAAGGCAGATACTTAACCGACTGAGCCACCCAGGCATCCCCAGAAGTATTTTTAAGGTTAAAAAAAAATACCCAGGAAACCAAACAGGAAAAGGAAAAAAATCTTTTAATTACAAACCAAGTTTACATAGTGTTAAATGGGCACTAACAGCTCAGTTGTAACCACTTATACTACTAGCAGGACCTTACAGGAGCCAAACTCCAGCTCTTCCCCATCCATTAACTCCCAGTGTGCTGTGACAGCACAATGACTTCATGTCACACTTGTGGAAAACAAGGACCACTTAACATCCGGCACAGACAGCGCGCATGCTGGCGCTGGGAGACTTCACAGCATTGTTCATTGCACCCAGAGTACTGGCTGAAGTACACTTTCTTTCTGACAGGATCAAATGAAATACAGTATTGAGTATTTTTAACACTGTCAAACACTACACACATAGTATTATAAAATGCCATTTAACTGGGAAGAAATTTTCCATCATCTCAAGTCATAAACAAAACTTTTTAAAGAAAACAAGCAGCTTTACCTGAACTTCTAAGTGTTATGACTCGAGAGTGACAGGACCCACCCAGACTCAGGGCAAAGGTAGTGTGTGTGTTATTATACTGTCTTTACAAAGAATTTTTTTGTCAATTTTGCCTCCACCTAGTCCAGCCAGATGAGAGATTAAGATGTCAGCCCCCAGTATCTTCACAGAGTGCCCTTATGACCAGTTTGGGAAATGAAGACAGGGACAGGGGCAGATGTGAGGAGGGAGAGTGAGGGAAATTTCTCTTTCATGATCCTGTGCTTGAGGGCCTAAAATAAGGTATGGTCAGTGATACACAGCAGTTTACCCTTAATGCCTTATAAAAGTCCATCCAGTCTATACTCTTGACCTGGTATCAGCAATAATGCATTTAGGGGCTCAGGTGAATAGAGAAGGTCAATCAACCAGGACTCTAGAAGGAAAGCTCCAAAAATGAGAAGTCATTGCCATTCAATGCCATTCCCATTACTGTTCTCATCAAGTCAATGGCTAGAGCAGACTTGATTATTTATCTCCACCAGACAAATGTGATTTGCTTTGATATAATCACATAATCTCAGGCTCCATATGTAAGAATGTCAGCAGTGGCTGAAGAGAAGCAGCTTCATGCTGAAGGGACCCATGTCCTCTGACTCCAGAGCTCCACCATCTGGTCTCAAAGTTTTTCCCTCTGAGGGAATGGCTGAAGAGGTAGCCCAGTGCAACCTTGCTGAGAGAGAACTTTCAATCACAGTGATTCCTACTGACTTGCTGAGAGACACAGAGCTTTGCAACAGTTAGGTCCATAGCTCCCGAGATTGCCTTGCAGGTTGTCTTGGGCATGCTTCGGAAAACCATGACAATTCTGGTAGGAGATGTCTTTTAGGAATAAAACAGATGACTCTTCTTTCCTTTAAAGTCTTTTCTCATTCCAAAATCTCATGAGAATGTCAGTTCATAAATGCTACCATCTTTTTTCTATAACCAACCTCCTGAATGAGGAGGGTGAAGGCTTTATAAATGTGCTCAAGAGTAAATATCATCAGGAAAGCTCTGTATTAACATGAAAGTTAAGAAAATCGGGACTGGAAAGAAAATCCTGATAAGCTTTCAATCTCTGAGGAAAATCTGCTCAGTGACTTTCCAAGGTGATTAATAACCAACACCCACATGGCAGCTTTGCTGTTTATCACCATCTTTATCCTTTCTCATCCCTCTTAACTTCCACGAAGAAATTTAAAATGGAAATAAGTTAAAAGAATCCTAAACCTGAAAGAGGTAGATTTTTCATAATTTTATATTTAATATGGATGAAACCAGTTTAGTTGAGATTTTATTTTTTTATAATTAAAATAACTGACAGGGTATGCATAAGAAAAGTATTTCTTAGCCTTTAATCTTTTTATAAACAAAACCTGCATACCCATTCTGTAATTTGTCTTATGAAAACTTTAATACGTTTCTCAAATATTTTTTTTTAACACATAGCCTGGTTAAGAATAATGCATATAGGATTATCTCTCAAAAGGATAAAACAAGCTGGCCCTTGGGCAGCTACTTAAGAGTTAGTGTTGGAATGATAGCAGCACATGTCAGTTTTTCAAAGATCCTATCTAATGCAGTTCCCAGATTAGAACGTCAGGAAGAAAAAAAAATTTCCATCTTTTCAAACATATACTGAAACAAAGTCTTTCCCAACAAAGAGCTGAGTCTTAAATGCAGTCTGTGCAACAGCACATACTTTTGGCTATGTTCACACAGTAAACCATAGAAACACACTGGCTCTGATGGCTACCCGTGGAAGACAGACAGACTGATCCAGTGTCTACTTAGCGTAGCTGCCAGCAGCTTCTCCGGTCAGCAGGACTTTGGAGATGCTTACCGTGCGCCCACAGTCCAGGAAGGACATGCCCAATGCAATCAAACATTGCCAACCCTGAAAGATAAAGTACGGTCATCATTCGCCAACCTCTCTGCAGATCCCTCTTCCCATCATGACTGCTCACACTGCACTGCTCAAGATGCAAACCTGCTCTCTTCCCTCTTTTTTTTTTTTTTTTTAAAGATTTATTTGTCAGAGAGAGAGGGAGGGAGAAAGTGAGCACAAAAAGGGGGAGTAGCAGGCAGAAGCATGGTCCCTGCTGAGCAAGGAGCCTGATGCAGGACTCGATCCCAGGACCCTGGGATCAGGACCCGAGCCAAAGGTAGATGCTTAACCAACTAAGCCACCTAGGCGTCCCCCTGCTCTCTTCCTTGAACATCCAGCTCTGCTCATGTCCTACCACCCAGTTTGCACAAGTCATTCTCCCAACCCCACACCCCCATTAAGACATCCTGGAATCTGCTTTCCTCAACAAAGTTTCTTCATACTATTTTCAATATCGAGTTCCCTGTTCCTACTGCTTTGTGTTTGTTGTTTCTTTTGTCCAACTGGGAGTTCCCTGAAGACCATCTTTCTTCAGTCCTACCCCATTCCTCATGATGCAGCTGGAGGTAATGACTGACAGACCAATACAACTCGGACAGCACCCCAAACTGCTCAAATACGTGTTTGGGAGCTTAATAGCAGTAACCAACCCTAGAATCAGTCCCCAGCCTAAAAATGGGTCTTCAACAACCTCAACAGTTTCAGGCTACCTGAGGACAACTCAGTCTCTTCAGAGCTAATCTGCAGGGAGGAAGGATTCCCTTAACTTCTACAGTGAATTTTAAAAATAATTCCTGTCAAGGACATGTTCAGTTACTTGAGTTTCCTTGGAGTAAATCCCTAGAATATAGGTTCAGCATAATCCTAGGGTGCTCAAGGTTTACTAAGGAGGAAAGAAGAAAAAATAAATAAATCCAGGCCTTAATTTTTCAATAGTCACTAAAGTTATTTTCTCAATCGAGTACTTAACCTGTGTCAGATATTAGCAGGGAGACTAGGTAAGTGTTAAAAAGATCAGCAGGTCTCCAGCCTCCATCCTTAACCATTCTCTGCAGCATATATAGTACAAATTCTGCTGTCCCTAACCCTCCACACATGCATTTTTCAAAGAAACCTGTATAGAACAGGGAGGTGGGTTTGTTGTCTTTGTTGCTACAACTATTTTCCATTAATATAAGTAATGTTGCAGAAGATTTAGAAAATAAGACAAAAGAATATATCCATCAAGGAAATATCCTAACACAACTACTATCACCATTTTTAACATAATTTACCACTGGGTTTGGGGGGGGGGGGGGAGGATCATCTTGAATACATTATTCTGCATTTTCTGTGTAGCTATGCTTTTATAACCATCATTTTTAAATAACTCTAGAGTAATTCAATGAGAAAATATCAATATTCTTTCTTTTGTAGACAGCTATTAAAATCTTGTGCCACTCTCTACTTTCTATACTATTCTTTTAATTCTTCAAAAACATGATACTCTCTTATCAGGAATTTTTAAAAAGTTATTAATTTATTTATTTGAAAGAGAGCACAAGCATGAGCAGGCAGAGGGAGAAGGAGAGGCAGACTCCCGGCCGAGCAGGGAGCCTGAAATGAGGCTTGATCCCAGAACACTGAAATCATGACCTGAGCTGAAGGCAGATGCCTAACCAACTGAGCCACCCAGGTGCCCCTCTTATCAGGAATTACTAAGAATGGAAACCAGACAGAAGTAACGTGACAGCTCTTAAGAGCCTAAATAAATGTTATGGTTAAAAATATTGTTTAACCACAGGTGACTTAACAATTTCACATAAACAGTCTCATTAACCTGGAGATAGGACTGCTATGTGCTTTTAAAAAAAAAAGAAAAGAAAAAAGATTGCTATTTTGCTCTTTTGGATCCTTTCATTTTGGTGTTCATAAGCCCCATCTCTACCATGTCTGATACCTACACCCCTGCCCCCTTCTGAAAAGACTTACCAGGTAAAACACAAAGCTCAGATAAGCCACACTGACCACAGCAGCTACCACATACAGTGCCACATGCCCTAGTTCCTGGACATAAACCAGGACAAAGTACATGTTGATGGAACAGACGATAAGGACCAATATCCCGCCTGCAATCCTCCAGCCTCTGTAAAAGAATCATTAGTCACTGGGGGGAATAGTCTAGCCCATTCACAAGCAGAAAAGGACACTGTCCTGTGGAGTAGACAGGACAGGAGTTAAGAGGCATCTCAAAATGCACTGAAAATTATTCTTATCATGAGCCAAGTAAAACACCAAGAGGGAGAAAGAGGGGGGGGAAATACTATCAAATAATCCTTAATATTTAAGTCCCTAAAAATGCAACAAGTCTCAAGTACCTAGAAAGCAACAAATAATTTCAAATACCCCATACCCTTTCAAGAAGTACATAAAAGGTATTCGTTTATGCTTTTCTCATTAAGATCGTTTAACATGGAATTAAGGTGCTTTACACTTCAGTGACTAAAGCTAAAGAATTAAAGCCCTAAGAGTGGAACTTTCTCATGCTAGAAATGAAAAATGTGCTTGCCTTCTTTACTGCATTCATAGTCTCTGTTCTCTGAGCCAAAAACTAAGGGGCAGCTCTAGCATTCACCTCTCAAAATATGTGGTTCCCCCCCATGACTCATTTTCTCACTGGTCTACTCAATGAAGATACGCTTCCCCACATATTTTTGGGGAACTGAGAGAAGTACACTCACATTCCATTGGTAAAGTCATTCATTACTGGCCGCAAGCTTGTAAACGTGAGGATGGGTATCAGAGCAAAAGGAAGCTGGAAGAGAAAGAATGGAGATCAGATGGGGCTACTGGAGATCCCTGTATTACCCCCAAGCAGCACTGTTAGCACAACGGAAACACATAACCTGTCTCATCTACCTCATGAGAAATTACTCCTATCATCCCAAGATGCTCATGCATTATATTGAAACCTATGGAGTCATCTGATCCGATGTCTTTATTCTGTCGATGGACACCGATTCTGATCTGGTGTCTTTATAAACATTCCTATCTGCCTTGCTTTTTTAACCTCAATAGGACCTAGCCATGTCCTATGTTATTTAATGTTTGCTTGGATTAAAAAACAGTAATTTAATACTCTATATATAATTATAGCAGATAATTCCCATTCAATAGGCTTTTACAAACCAAAACATTTCTAAAAGCTCTTCAGATACCAGGGATTCCATACATTTATATACATACATTTATATACATACATGTGCCTCTTTCTTCCTCTGAATTTTTCCCAGGACCCAGCACTACAGGCTTGGTACCTAACGGCAATATATAACACTGCCTGATTAAATGGGATGGGGCTTCCCCCAGCTCCCTCCTCACCTGTAAGCTCTGCAGAACATTCAGGAAGTCATTCATCCCTGTTAGATGCTCTACGTCCTGGAAGATGGCAACAAGCAGAGTGGGGATGATGGCAATAGAGCGGGTCAGAATCACTCGGGCAAAGCGTGACCATTTTAGGTTCAAGAATCCCTGGAAGAAAACCCAGAAGCAGGATAAACGTCTAGAACAGGAAACAGAAAAAGGTTTGGGAGGTTCAGGAAGACCCTAGAAACATGGGATTAAGAAGACGTCACAAAAGGGCAATCAATGTTTTCTTCCTCTCCTCTATACCAGTCAAAACTGCACATACCTCCATGACAAACTGGCCAGAGTAAGTTCCTGTCATGGTGGAGCTCTGTCCTGCAGCCAGGATCCCAACAGCCCAGATGTAGAGTGCAGCTGGCCCAAAGTAACATCCCAGTACTACACCCTGGGGGAGGCAAGGGAGAAAGATGTTTTTGTCAATGATCTGCTTAGACAACAACCAAAACAAAATTGCTCTGTAGCAAGCACTGTGCTGGGCGCTACTCCGCAGAAGCCAGACTCAGGACCTGACCTCATTTTAGGGGCCTTCGACCTAAATTTTGCTGGATACTCCTTCATTCCTCTGCTTAAGTCTTTTCTCCGAGTTCCTAAAGCCTTCATCCTCAACCTACATCTTAAATATGTTTAAAATTAAAAAAAAAAAAAAAAAAGAAAAGAAAGTCTACACAACAATTTCCAAATTATATTACTTAACACACTATTCTGGAAGATAGTAACAAGAGTGAAGAGAAAGGTCAAATACATTTGGGAAATACTACATAAATTATGCATTCTACTCTTGGGAGGTTCATAATGTAACCAGCATAAAAGGGACTGAGAGGTCCCAATAAAGAATACTTTACCAGGAGCACTTTCTTTAGTCTCCTCCAGTTAACATCCTATAAAACACTATACTACCACCATCACTCTACAATTCATCTTTTAGCTGATCTTCTATTCCCTCCCATATAATCCAAAAATGCTTGCCTGGCACCTAGACCTCTGAAGTAAATGACACTCCAGAGACGACAGTTTCAGCTCCGAAGTGAACCCACAGAAAATGATCAGATACTATGCCAAGAATACTGATTCAGGAGCAGTGATTACAAATCTGAAAAGGCTTACCCCTTTGTAGATGTCCACTGCCAGTGTTGAGTTATCATCAGGAAAAAGGTGAGTGTGGGGACTGCTGTTATTTCTACAGACTGCAATCTGGAACACAAAGCAGTTCAGGAGCAACTTTTACTTTTGAGGCAAGGACCAGACCAGAAGAGCATTCCTACAGATCACAAACTACAGGTCACATGCAAGTCACCTAGGAGACATAGGCTGGAAGTTAAGACACTGGATACAGGTTGTAATGAGAGCAGAGATTGGCAGTAATGGCACTTACGGTCTTCTTCCATAATCCTTCTACACCCTCATGCTATCAAAAATATTTACTGAGTTAAGAGTGTGCATGGTGGGGTGCCTGGGTGGCTCAGTTGTTAAGTGTGTGTCTTCAGTTTAGGTCATGATCCCAGGGTCCTGGGATCGAGCCCCTCATCGGTCTCTATGCTTGGTGGGAAGCCTGCTTCTCCCTCTCCCACTTCCTCTGCTTGTGTTTCCTCTCTCACTGTGTCTCTGTCAAATAAATAAAATCTTAAGAAAAAAAAAAGAGTGTGCACAGTAATACATGAATGCTGGCTCGCTTTAAGTGATGGCAGGAGGAGAGGGTCCTTAAGAAATATGAGAGGACTCCTTAGTCATAGCAGAGCCAGGAGTCAGAGATCCTATAGATAGGCCATCAGGAATCAAGACAATAGAGTATTCAAAGTACAAAAGAGGGGTGCCTGGGTGGCTCAGTGGGTTAAAGCCTCTGCCTTTGGCTCAGGTCATGATTCCAGGGTCCTGGGATCGAGCCCCGCATCGGGCTCTCTGCTCAGCAGGGAGCCTGCTTCCTCCTCTCTCTCTCTGCCTGACTCTCTGCCTACTTGTAATCTCTGTCAAATAAATAAATAAATAAATAAATCTTAAAAAAAAAAAAAAAAGTACAAAAGAGTATATCTTAGTCAGTTTCTGTGTTCTGTTTGTTGACTCCTCCCTGTCCTCACCTCCAAATGCAAGACTGGCAAGCAGGCTGGCAGTTGATAAACAGGAAACAAAAGGGGATGATGACAAAGAGCCAAACAGACATGAAGGCACAAACAGAACAGCGTGAGGCAATCTTTATTCTGAGGCAAACTCCCTTCAGAGCCAATAGCTTGGAAACATGGGTCCAGGCTTGGCCTATCCCCAGACTCTGGACCCTGACTACTGCCATGATGAGGGGGCAGCCCCGAACCTGGAGATCTGTTTCCCCTGAGCTCCAAGTCCCTTTCACTCTTCCTGTCTTCCGGCCTTCACTACCCTCACATTCACTACCACTCATGACCCTGGCTTACTCACCACCTGGTCGTTGGTTTTTTCAAAAAATGCTTCAGCAAAGACTGAGACGACAAAGACGTTGATGATGAAGGAAACAAAGAGAGCAATGCAGGATTCGATGAAAAAGTACTTATTAGCTTCTCGAACTTCCTGCTTATTGGCTCGGTTTACCTGTCTGGACTAGAGACATAAACGTCAAAGTCATTTTTTGATTAGTTAGAACAAGTTTCTTTGTACTATTTCATAAGTTTGGAGTCAGCTGAAAGATTTAGAGGGCAAACAACTGACATTTTCTCACAAGAAATGTGAGAAAACTTACTTACATCCTGGCTCAGTAAGTGAGTAAGGACCTCATGACCCTCTGACAACACTGCACGTTCCTCAAACAGGAAATGATGACTATGTGCTACTAAGCTCTCAGTTACTGTGGCTAGAAGAACCACTCCCATAAAAAAACCACCTGATTTTCAGTCCTAACAACCTTAATTGTAAAGGTCTCTGAGATCTCCCAGCAAACTATTGTATAAGATGACTGATAAAACCTTGGTTGGGCTCTTTAATCCTGATCTCCTCAAGGTCACTCATTCTCTTGGGGTTTTTTTTTTTTTAATCTTTTGGGATTTAAACACAAGAGATTTGGTGCACTTTTGGACCTTTTATGAAGAATTTTAGTCCCAGTTTCTCTGTGGGGTCACTTATTTCTGGTCACCTTTGTGACAAAAACAGAGTCTGAGCGTGCAAAGTTTATAAACATCCAACCGTGGAAAAACCCTTCTCTCCTTTAGGGCTCTTATGCTTTTCAAGTAAGTGTGTGTTCCCTGCAACTAAAGGAAACATAAACTCTCTGGACAACACAGATATAAGGGCCATACTCACCTTGACTAAGGCAGAATGCAGGTACATATTGTGTGGCATGATGACAGCTCCCACGATGCCCACAGCCTGCTCGATCTGTGGGGTGTGGCAGCCTGAACAGGATGGCAGGAACATGCCCTTGAGTACCTGGCTCTGGCTGGGCTTCACTGTAACATACTACATACCAACAGAACTATTAGAATATGAGACCAGGGGAGTAACACAGTACTAGGAAACACTTAGCATCCATTGCTCCTTACAACACTTTCTTCAACAACTACCTAGAATAATGAGGAATATAGAACCATCAGAAAACCAAGCAGCATGAGGGACTTGCTTCCAGAGGTCTGAGAATTCAGGCCTGGCATATCCAAATATTTCACGTCATATTTTAGATATACAAAGTAGATGTGTAGAGAATGTCATTAATATTCTAAAGAATTAGATGGCTGCTAAGGGCCTCACTGACATTATTTTCACAACTGCTCCTATGAGACAGACCCAAGAATATAGTCAATTCTTGATTATCCATACTTTTGCCTCTATTCACCTATGTTTATCTAAAAATCACTTATGTTTGCCACTAATATATGCTGAGACACATTCATAAATATTTCTCATACATACTTTTTCCTGGTTCAGCCTTTTTCTTGAAGCCTTAGACTAATCTATTACATAATCTACTCACAGATTAGATGAGCTTTTTTAAAAAGATTTTATTTCTTTTAGAAATAGAGAGTGTGAGCAGGGGGAGGGGCAGTGGAAGAGAGAATCAGATCCCTGAGATTGTGACCCAACCCAAAAAATCAAGTCAAGACACTTAACCAACTGAACCAGCCACCCAGGCATCCCAGATTAGATGTACTTTTAGAAGTTCAGCCAGGCCAATGAGCAAAAATGAGTTTATAACAATTGGACATAGAAAACTACTATCAGGGCGCCTGAGTGGCCTTCGGTTCAGGTCATGATCCCAGGGTCCTGGGATTGAGCCCCACATGGGGCTCCCTGCTCAGCGGGGAGCCTGCATCTCTCTCTCCCACTCCCCCTGCTTGTGCTGTCAAATAAATAAATAAAATCTTAAAAAAGAAAGAAAGCTACCATTACTGCCTATAATGGTACTGATTCTTAGGAGTATCTGGGTTGGGGAACAAACCAGGAAACACCCGCTATATCCTTTATAGTTCATTAACTTGCAATACAGAGAAAGTTCAAGCTGCAGGTGGTATAAGCCAGGATAAGCAAAACCAGAACCCCTCCGAGTTAAAAGCCAGGAATAATCTCTAAGGCTGCTCTGTAATGGGGCTAGCCAACTTGGAACCAGGGAGTCTAGTCTAGAAAGTCCTACAAAATCTGGTCATTTTTGACCTAGGAGACCAGCAGGCCTTCCCAGAGAATAGTCTCTACAGATCATATTTCTTCAAAATTGGCCTAGGCTGAACTGGCTTTTTGTTAACACATGTGATAAAATTAAACCATCCTAGCATTATACAGTCTTAAAAGAAAAGGCAAAACAACCCCCTCTCTTTTGGTTATAAAAAGTAATGAATAGCCTGTGACACTTGCCTCATATCCAAATGTGAGGGCCATAATGGTGATAAGAAAGCCAAAAAACGCTTCTAGCTTCCGTAAGCCTAAAGGGGAAAATGCAACAGTGAGCTCACAGAAGGCAGACTTCTCCACCAGCCAGAAGAAGGGAAGTAGCTCCTTTCACTGACCCCTCCATTCCCAGTCTCCTTACCATATTTGTCCAAAAAGAGAAATACAAAGGTATCTGCAATGGTGATGAGAACTCCACCCCATAGAGGAACCCTAGGTCAGAGACAAGAAATGGAGATTAATGGGAAGAAAGGAAACGTTGAAAACCACTTTCTTTCCAACAGCTCTCCAGATACACAACACTTGGAGAAGTAAGGACTCGTGGGAGAGGGGACAGTGGCAGGAGGTCAGGCCTTGGGTAGTTTAGGATCACAGCACCAAATGAACGAACTACATTCATTCAAACATTGTCTACTAAGTCAGACATTTAGGATGCAAAGCTGAAAAGTACGGGTCTTACCCCTCAAGGAGCTCACTGTCTAGTGGGACAAACTGATATACCAATACATAATTGTAACACACATGTCACACACTGTATAACAGAGGGATGCATAACCCAACATGAGAACATGAACATACAGAGCCTACAGCTGCTGGGAGAGAAGGTGGCTCCAGAAAGGTTCCACAGAAAAAATAATACTTGAATTGAATCTTGAAAACTGAAAATTAATTTGGTCTTTGTTTTTACATTTGCTTTGAAATCTAGAAAAATATTACTTTCTGGAGGAAAACCCCCTCACCTTCCTACAGACAGGAGATTGATGGCAATGGCTGAGCCAATAACTTCTTGCATATCTGAGCCAATGATAGCCAACTCCACCATCAGCCATAGGATAATTCGTGGGACCTAAATACCAAACAGCAGAAAGACATAGTTCTAATTAATCATTTTTAAGAACTTTCCCTATAGTTTGGAATTCACATTTGGCACTGACCCATCAACAGTCCTCCATAAGGCTTCAGTCTAGAGATGAAGTAACAGAACTGGGCTCCACCTGGCCTGTCACTGCACTGTACCCCCAAGCTGGAGAAAGCAAGGGTGCTTCTATGTGGTGATGCCAATGAGCCAAGGTCAGGACAGCAGCTGATCCTAATCTTTTCTCTTACCTTCCACTCAATAGAGGAATGGAATTTCTGATCATTAATTTCCACTTAATTTCCTGAATAAAAACAATCCAAAAGTTTTAGGGGAAAATGAGGATGCTAACCTGGTCAAAATATTGTTCAGGAGAGAAGAGAAAATGACCACAGAAGACAATTATCCTGACCATGGCTGAAGAGATAAAATAAAAATGAAGAGGCTGGGGTCAACCTTAATGTAATGATAATATATAAGCAAGTGAAAAAGGACAAATATGTAAAGGGACTCCAAGCAAACTGGTTGAAATAGAGTGGCATATAACAAAACGGGAACCTAATCTGGTCAAACGATCCAGCTGAAAGACAAATTTAGTTAATACTGGCTCACAGAGGCCAAGAGAAAACAAAAAAAAACCAAACCCAAAACAAAACAAAAACAAAAACAAAAACAAAAAACAAATCCAACACAACAGCTTCAGGTATCTACTACACAAAAAATGGTCACAAAAAAGAACTGTTAATATACGTGAAGAGAAACTACAAGAAATTATAAATTACTAAGGTTTTTTTCTGAAAAGCATATAAGGGGGAAAAGGCAGATAAGGATAGTTTTTCAGAGTCAGAAAAGGAGATTATACATTTAGGACAAACTAGAGGGAGATCATTATCTTATCTAAAGATGAAGCTAGGTTAAAACTATCTTCCAGACATAGGGTCCATTCCTGCCTTAGGCAGCAGTAAGAGAAGGCCCAAAATGTCCAGAAAAGAGCTGTGGAAGACAGTGTAACTTCCAGGGTCAGGGTCAATTGAAAAATAATTCTTAACAAATCCAAAGATCCTGCCACATAGAGTTTATAGTAAAAGAGAATATCTTATTTTTCAAATTGATGACAAAGTCAAACAAAAAAGAAAATACATGATTTAGGAATATGGATGTATGAATGAAAGTGCTTAAAGCACTCCCACCCCTCCATGGGCTGGGCACTGCTAGATATCAGAAGGCGGAATGAATGGTAAATATTTACTCTAACTGAATTTTTCCAAGGAAGCTTTCTGGCAAAAAATGAATCTCAATTTAAAGAAGTACAGAACTATGGGTTGGCAGCAAGAGAGGCTACCGAATTTCCCCTGGAACTGATCCGCAGGCCCCTGACCACTAAATCCTCCGCTATTTCAGTATATATCACGAGGCCAGCACATTCTGTCAGACACACACGTTTCTCTGAGATGAGTGACAAACAGGACACTACGTGGCTCACCTTGGGATACTGACGATGACACACTTCAGCAAGATGCAACCCCGTGACCACGCCCAGTCTGGCTGCAAGGCGCTGGAGCAGCAGCCCCACGACGGTGGCCAACATTAGAACCCAGAGCAACTAGAGAAGAAAAAAATCCCATCATAACACTCATTATACAACTGGAGTGTTTTCATTTCGTTGTTTGGCAATGTGAATGAGAAATACATTCAGGAAAGAGCCCAGCTCAAGAATCAAATGACCTGGAGATCTGTATCAGGTTCTGTGCATAACCTGCTAGGTCATCTCACACCTTTCTGAGCCTTAATTTCTCCCTTGTTCAAGGCAAACTATGTGGACTGGATAAAAGAAAATAAATTTAAAGCAAACTATGTGTATAAAATAAATTTTAAAAACCAGATGGCAAAGTACTTTTCACCCAAGTGTCACTGTCAATGAAGTTGCATGTAACTGCCAAGGTTGATGATATCCAACAGGCAGAGAAGGGGGAAAGGATGTGAGGGTGGACTGCATGTGTTTAACAGGGGCAGGGAGAGGACTAGATGTTCACCTTAAATCCAGCCACTGCTCCAGACTGCAAATCAGATTCGATGTTTCCTGGATCCAAGTAGGCAATGCTCATAAGAAAGCCAGGTCCCGTGAAAGCCCAGAGCTTACGAAAGCTAAAACAAGAATACTATACAAGAGAGGAAGAGATCAAACTAATTATCAACTCCAAACTACTGATCTAATTTATCTGTTTTTTTTTTTTTTTTCCACATATAAAGCAACAATATCAGCTTCTGCATACTGGGTGTGCCCAACTTCAACTTCATCTTACCCACTTCTTATCAATAACCTGGCCACTTCTCTGTCCAAATAAGAGCCCTTCCCTTACCTGTTCTTTCCATCCACCAGCCTCTCATTCTAAAACCTGAGTATGAGTATCAGTACCCTTGTGCCCAACCACCACTCAAAAGGGACAAAAGCTACTGTAAAACACATGTAATTCATACTTTCTAGATCAAAAAATAATCACTAGTACAATGTGGCAACTGTTCTCAAGGTCCTCGTTTTCCTGAAAGTTACTGTAAACAGTTACTCTGATTACAGAAGTTGTCTTCAGAGACTTGCTTGCAAAATGAGATCTGAGGCTGTTGCTCTTGAGTTGTTCAGCAGACTTTCCACTCCTAAGTCTTCCTTAAATAATCCCTTCCTCCAAGGATTTGTCACTAACCTCTTCTTCAGGAATGGTGATCTTCTCATCAAAGTAGGTGGTAAAGGGCTCCTGTGAGTGCTCCTCGGACTGGGGGAGAGATGAGGTACTATAGGCAGGGTTGAGTGCACCAAGACTGGGAGAGTCCCCATGGTCTCCAGAAACTTCATCTAAATTAACAGATTTGAGAAGAAATAAAAATGAACAAAATACACTAACAACTTGTCCTTAGTAACTTTTTTTTTTAAAAAAGATTCTATTTATTCATTTGAGAGAGAGGGAGGGAGAGAGCATGAGCAGGGGAGAGAGGCAGAGGGGAAAGCAGACTCTGCTGAGCAGGGAGACCGATGTGGGGCTCCATCCCAGGACCTTGGGATCATGATCTGAGCTGAAGGCAAACGCTTAACCATCTAAGCCACCCAGACGCCCCTCCTTAATAACTTTTATTTATTTATTTTTAAAGATTTTATTTATTTGACAGACAGAGATCACAAGTAGGCTGAGAGGCAGGCAGAGAGAGAGAGGTGGAAGCAGGCTCCCCACTGAGCAGAGAGCCCGATGCGGGGCTCGATCCCAGGACCCTGGGATCATGACCTGAGCTGAAGGCAGAGGCTTTAACCCACTGAGCCACCCAGGCGCCCCTCCTTAGTAACTTTTAAATCAAATCTTTTTAACACCTAAATGCACAAGACCAACCTGGCTCTACTCAATTTATTTCCAATATTTTATTTTCATCTATATTTTTAATATAGAATAATTACAATTCTTTATTAGGCAGTACATTCACATGGATGGAAATTCAGGAAACTAAAAAAAGCTTATGGTAAAAAAAAAAGCTCCCTCTCACCCCTCCTCCCATGTCACTTTGCTCTGGGTTAGTTTTAACGCTCATCTCACAATGGTTTTCCTACTTTCACACTTCTGCATTCCCGGTTGGCAACTTTTAGTATCATCTCATTTTCTTCTAAATACACTGATGCCTAGGGCTCAAAATATAACATTCCCTGTCTAGCCACCCTCGTAACCTAAAATCCTAACTTTCAGAAGAACACAACTAGGTCCATCTAGTTACTACCCTACTCCGCCCCCACCCCCATCCATTATTTGGACTGAGCCAAAGAATGGTCCTCGGACTTTACACCTCTGTCGGGCTTCTCAAAAAATGTGGAAGTTGAAAAATCCTGCCACAGTTAGGTTAAAATCTGAAGCTGCAGGGAAACCACCAAACAGGAACCCTTTGCCTCCTGACTAAGGCCTGCCATGAAGAGCTTCAGGTCATGGGGTGTGGGCACCCTCGTGACAGGAGGGCTCATCTTAGACTGCTTATCAGCATTTCCAGGTCCTGCATTTTGCCGGTAATCTTAAATGCTGGTAAGGGAAGGGTCTAGGAGAAAAGGGCTAATCTGCCAGAAGGATACAAAGCCGAGTTTGATAGCCATCAAATGGCAATTTCAAACCAAAGAGCTCTAATGTCAGGGTTTCCAAGAAATCCTTGTAACATCCAATTAGAAAAACAAAAGCTTCTTTCTATAGGGAGCTGACCCACTTCTGTGAAGTGGCCCTGAATTATAAGGAAATTTAAAGAAAAGGAATAAAAATTCTAAAGCAGAAATTTAGATTAGAAAGAATTAGAAAACTCCCTCTAATGGATTACACAGTTAAATGCGTTTGCTCGGTATTTTACTGTTCCTTAATGTAAATATCCCAGTCCTGTGAAGAGCCAAAGCATTCTAAAGGTTTTTATGCCAGGCCTGTGATTAACACTTGCCCTTGGAAGCATTACTGCTACAGAAACCAAACTTGCAGCTAATCTTGGCTCATCTCAGAAGTGGAAATAAGATATGAGATAGATCTTCATGGTTATCATTTACAGCTTAAGTTACTGGATGGTGACTGGATTGGACCTGATTGGAGCAGGCCTCTATGATGATACTGTTAGCTAGGGAAGAGGAGTTAAGGACAATTTTTGTTGTGATAGATGACAAGAAGGAAAATATGGTCAATTTCTATTACTGATTTAGACCAAATTCCAAGTAAAAATCAGACAATAACACAGCTATAAATTACCATCTGGCATCTTCTGTTCAGGACCCAACACCATGGTAGATGCCTGAGTGTCCGAGCTCTTAGAATAGGATTCTGGAAAGGAGAAAAGGGAGACAGGAATGAGCAAGAACAAAATAATAAGTTCAGAACCAACATTTTGTTACTCTGTACAACTGACCCCATACTAGATGAAAAGAATAATTCTTCTTCTAAATTAGAGAATCTTGAAAATAATTACAGCTTTCAGAGCATTATTAAGAGATAGTTAATAAAATTTTTTTTTAAGATTTTATTTATTTGACAGATCACAAGTAGGCAGAGAGGCAGGCAGAGAGAGAGAGGAGGAAGCAGGCTCCCTGCTGAGCAGAGAGCCCGATGTGGGGCTCGATCCCAAGACCCTGGGATCATGACCTGAGCAGAAGGCAGAGGCTTTACCCCACTGAGCCACCCAGGCGCTCCGAGATAGTTAATAAAAATTAAAGAGTCTTAATCATTTTTTGCTAGCAAGACTTTAAAACCAAACTAAAGCAAAAGGTATTTCAGGGAAGTAGGCAAATACTTTTTAATAAGCATCCACAAAGAGGCTGCTAAGCAAACCCCCAGTCTCTGCCTTTGCTTCCAGATTAACTCAAATATTTATTTAAAACCAGACTGATTTCTCCCAACTTTTACAAGTTTTTAAGGACAAAGATCTATAACTTTTTTTTTTTTTTTTACTCTTTTTGATCTAAGAAATAATTTAAGCTCACGATTCAATTTTCTGGAAAGGGGGGAGAAAAGCACCGCACACCATACTGTCGTGGAGGGCCATTATTTCCCAGCCTCATATTTCCCTGAGGAGAGAGAGACTTCCCCTATAATGTTTCTCATTCCCTAACCCTTCAACAACCGAAAGAAGAAACTAATCACTATGGCTATCCCTTCCTGGGCACTCAAGGAGAGATGAGGCACCAGGAGGACTAGGCATAGTCTGCAGGATGCCATCCAGCACTTCTCTCTATTGTGGAAGGGAGTTAAGGATGAGCGGTTGTCCCAGAGATCTATCAACCTGTTAGGTCAAGTTTAACTAGGGGGGGGGCGGGGGGGGATTGGGGTGGGATGGTCATAAGCCCATTTGGCCACAGATCTATGGAATATTCTCCAGTCAACCCCACCAATAAGGCTGATTTTTTTACATTTCAATTTACTGATTAAGGAATCTAATTCTCAGTTGATTTCAAATTTACAAGGAGAGGGGCACCTGGGTGGCTCAGTGGGTTAAGCCTCTGCCTTCAGCTCAGGTCATGGTCTCAGGGTCCTGGGATCGAGCCCTGCATTGGGGTTTCTGCTCAGCAGAGAGCCTGCTTCCCTCTCTCTCTCAGCCTGCCTCCCTGCCTACTTGTGATCTCTCTCTCTCTGTTAAATAAATAAAATCTTTAAAAAAAAATTTAGAAGGAGAAAGACGAGGTAATATTTATTGTTAGCCCCAACCCCCACTTAAATCCCAATAAGAATGATGCTACTGAAAAAGTTAAAAAGCCTCTCCTTAGTTATCTTTTACTGTAGAAAGTCTTTTCCTCTCTTGTACCTTGTTCCTATCTGAACATTCTTCTACTTTCTTTTTTTTTTCGATAATCTACCAATATATTCTGTATCTATTTTAAAGAATTATCAGAGTGGAAGCATTCTAGGTTTCATCCATCTTCCCAGATATAAAACATACTACCACTTGCTAAGTTGGAAAACATAATCTTTTATCTCTAGAATCACCAATATCAAGTGTTTTGTTACAGTGGACAACTAGCCATGTCCCTCCTATCAGGTTTTAAGGCACCAGATAACTAAACACCAGCCAGTAGATGCCAGTAACACTATCTACATTCAAACCCTCTTTAGCACCTCATCTGAATGGAAGTTACGTATCTGACCACTGAGAACAGCAGGAGACTCTTGGATTCCAATCACAGCTCAGCCCCTTGGCCCCATCCAGAGCCCTTATACTTTTATTTTACATATACTTCTAAGAAGCCAGGTTATCAGGTTATCCTAACCCTTAATAAATTAGATATCACAAATCAGCTCTGGGACTTTCTAATTCTTATAGGAAAAGGTCTTGGGCCACTTCATATGAGGCAAAGAGCCCTTCGTTATACTTTGATCAACTCTGAGAACATTATTATTAAAAACAATGTTATTAATATTTTATTATTATTAATTATATTAAGCATAACTCAAGTTTCTTCTAATGTGGCCCTACTCACCAAGAACTGATTACATTAGATTACTTTTGTAGTGATGATTGACATCCTGTGTAAGTCACAGAAGTGTTTAGTGCATCTGAGGAAATTTCCTTCCCAAAATAAGCCTTTAAGTGATATTTCAAAAACAAACAAATAAAGGTGATAGTTAGGGCCATATGGATGGGTAAGTTGGTTAAGCTCTGCCTTTGGCTTGGGTCATGATCTCAGGGTCCTGGGATAGAGTTCCTCATCAGGCTCCCTGCTCAGTGGGAGTCTGCTTCTCCCTCTGCCTCCCCCAACTTGTGCTCATGCTCTCACTCTCTCTCAAAAACATAAAACTTAAAAAAAAAAAAAGTGAGAGTTAAATAATTTTAGGCAGAAATAGTTCATGATAAAATTTTAAACAATTGTTATTAGTATCCGAAGGGATTATTTATATATTAATTACATACACAGCTAATAAATACAAGAAGTCTGGTCTTCTCTCTGAAATCTCAGGAATGCATTATTCCAAGAAAGAAAAAACAATTCTAGATTCCAACTTTCTCATCAAAACTTTTAGCCAACAAACTATAAGCTCTATTGCTTCCACTGTCTACAGAATATAACTAGGGCAGGAAACAGAGTGGGTCAGTTAGACTTGGTGAGCTACACAGTATTTAATTTCCATGAAAATTTAAGACCCTACAGAAGCAGTTAGTACTGAAACAGTTTTGCTCTCTAGGACCATACCACCAGATTGTTTTAGTCATTTAACTACATTAATGCAAAGATCAAAATGAAATACAAGCAACCAGAATCAATCCAGCAATACTTTGATAATTATGATTAAGATAGCTTTTATATGCTAGCTCACCCTCAACCATAAAGTGTCACCTTCTTCTGAATCCAGTAAGTTTCCTCCTGTCAAACAGCAATCAACAACAACAAAAAATGGCACTCCTGGTTAAATGTAATATAAGAATTTTATCCCATTCCTTATCAAAAGTTGTTAAGAATGGGGGTGCCTCCGTGACTCAGTCGGTTAAGTGTCTGACTCTTGATTTCAACTCAGATCACATCTCAGGGTTGTAAGATGGAGCCCCACATCGCCCAGAGCGAAGCCTGCTTAAGATTCTCCCTTTCCCTCTGCCCTTCCTCCCTCTTCCCCTCCAAAAAATGTTAAAAGAATGATTTACAAGTGGGGTGCCTGGCTGGCTCAGTCAATAAAGCATGTGACTCTTGATCTCAGGGTCATGAGTTCAAGTTCAAGTCCCACACTGGGTGTAGAGATTACTTAAAAAAAAAAAAAGTTTTACAAGATAAAAAGGCTAGGGGCGCCTGGGTGGCAGCTGAAGCCACTGCCTTCAGCTCAGGTCATGATCTCAGGGTCCTGGGATCAAGCCCCAAATCAGGCTCTGTGCTCAGCAGGGAGCCTGCTTCCTTCTCTCTCTGCCTGCCTCTCTACTTGTGATCTCTCTCTGTCAAATAAATAAATAAAATCTTTAAAAAAAAAAAAAAAAAGATAAAAAGGCTAATAAAATTACACTTTCTGTCTAAAATGCCAAAAGTGCACATACCTTTGACCCAGCAATTCTAACAATGGATCTTAAAGAAATACTCACACAAGGAAAGTATGTGCAAGGAAATTTCCTGTAACACTGTTTGTAGTATCAAAAGACTAGAAACAACCTAGATACTAGTCGAGGACTGGTTAAATAAACTATGTACATATAGAGGATGGAATGCCATGCAGCTATTATAACAATGCAAATCTAAATGTACTGATAGGAAACAATCTCCAAGACATGTTTTCAAGTAAAAAACCCAATGTATAGAATGGTATACAATCATTTATGTCAAGAATTAAAGAAGAGGGGCCCCTGGGTGGCTCAGTGGGTTAAAGCCTCTGCCCTTAGCTCAGGTCATGATCCCAGAGTCCTGGGATTGAGCCCCGCATTGGGCTCTCTGCTCAGCAGGGAGCCTGCTTCCCCCTCTCTCTCTGCCTGCCTCTCTGCCTACTTGTGATCTCTGTCAAATAAAATAATAAAATCTTAAAAAAAAAAAAAAGAAGAAGAACAAGAAAAGAAGAGAGAGAATATACACATGTACATGTATGGACTACCCCCCAGGGACATGCCAAAAACAGGTAATGCTGTCCCCAAAGAGAAGGAGAGGGGGAGCACAAATGAGGTCAGGTGAAGGGAGGACCTCTCATTGAATATACACTGTATACCATTTTGCACTTAAAAAAACTTTGTCATGTACTTGTATTATCTATTTCTTTTAAATACAAAGGTCATATGGATTCACTCAGCTTCTGAACACTTCTGAACACTTTCAGGATGTGCAGCTGAACTCTGACAAAACTTCTGTAGTGGATTAATCAGAGATCTATACCTACCCAGCTGGCAGGCATACACTGTCTAAAACTTACCTTACTACTACTTTGCCTTAGTGCCCAAAGAGCCATGCTCTGAGATTATGAACTGGGAGTTACATGTGAATGTAACTCAATGTAATGTAATCAAGAAAGCATTTCCTGACTCCTTAATTTGGGTATCCCCCAAACACAAACTAGCTATAATCGATTCTGAACATCTAATTAACATGAATTCATGTGCTCTCTTACCACTCACAAGAACTCTAAAAAAACAATTTTTTTAAAAAGATTTTATTTATTTATTTGACAGAGAGAGAGAGAGAGAGCACAGCAGGGGGAGCGTCAGGCAGAGGAAGATGGAGAAGCAGGCTCCCTGCTGAGCAGGGATCCAGATGTGGGGCTCGATCCTAGGACTTTGGGATCATGACCCGAGCTGAAGGCAGACGCTTAACCGACTGAGCCACCCAGGCGCCCCTAGAAAAACAATTTTTTTAAGAACAATTTAGATAGGG